GAGCCCAGCCAACGGCCGCTCGTGAGCAAACTTCGCAGGCGATGCCTCTCCAGACTTCCTCGCGGGTGAGCCAGCCCGACATGTACGGTCTCGCGTCGGACCCGACCGCGCTGCACGCAGTTCGAAGCCAACTACTCAAGCACTTGGGGATCGTGGTTCAGAACGGCCGAGCTGCGATTACGGCCATGTACTTGGACGCCACTCGGGCGCGGGACGACGAAGCGGCTCCTCACAGTGCGACAGTGGAGCGCGCGATGGCCGCAGGGCGGGTGATTGCGTTGCACGCGGTCCAGCTCTTCCCCGACGCTTTCGCGGCAGAGTTTCCCTTGCGGGCGACGCTCATGCCCGGGAAGAGGCTGCGCCTGGGCGGCGCTGTGCTGCGAGAGAGCTGGGAGGCTCGCGCTGCTTTGGCATTGGCGTTGGAGCGCCCTGGTGGCGGCGACCCGAGGATGCTCATGTACCAGTTCCTGGGGGATAACAAACAGCGCAACCGGGCATCGGCGGACCCGCCCAACACTTTCCCCTTGCACTTCCGCGACATGCCGATCAACGTAGCTCAGGCTCTCGGGCGCGACAATACTTTTTTTCACGGCGCAGAGATCTCGGAGAAGATGGTGGTCGTTCGGCCCCCCCGCCCCGCGAGCGCCTATCCCCCCTGACGCCTGAGCACCGTGAGGAGGCCGCGGACGTGAGTCGGGATATCATATACGCAGTGAATGCAATGTCTGGAATTCTTCGCAGGAGGCACGGGCTCCCGGCCGGCGTGCATTTGCCGCGCGCACCCAACTCAGCTGGCGCCGATGCCGCGCGAAAGTGCGCGGAGGAGGCGTTCAACTGCATTCTCTGCTCGAACACGGGCGTGCTGGAATATTTTTCGAGCCAGGGCGGCGAGATCAGGGACTTTTGTCCGCTCTGCGAGACGTGCAACCTGTGCAGTGGCAGCGGCTGCTGGCCCGACGATGCGACGCCGTGCCCTGCGTGCGCCAGTCTAGGGGTTGCTCGAGTCTGCCGATGCCTTCGCTTTTCCGTCGTTTCCGAACCTTGACCCCAGCCCCGCCCTCCCCGCTCGTGAAAAGCGCGGGGGCGCAGGGACGCCTTGTACAGGGTGTTGCTCGTTTGTAGATACCCCTTGTATATAGCATGCGTTGTTCGGAACTTGCCTTGCATGCGGCTACCTACTGAGTGATGATAGACGACCCCATTGCATAGGGCCACATCTGCTGTGACATAAGCCCTACTACCACATCACAGGTATGCCAGATATCCAGGTTTATCTAGCAACAACTTACCCCAAACACAGAATGCCATGACATTTGTCCCAGATAACACTTATACGAAATAACAGACTTGCCAGATGGCAGATTTGCCAGATAACGGATAGCAGGTTTGGGTCCCGTTCTTGAACCGGGTCACCGGAGTGCAGGCGGGCTGGGGTCTGCTCTCCAGCCCGCTCGGATTGGGCTGGTCACCGTCACTGCAGTAGATTACGGATGGGCTCGGTTCAAAACCATCGCTTGCAAAACATATCATATGATATATGAGGAGTCACCGTCGCAGCGGGCTCAGTTTCCATCTGTCGCGGATTGCATGCGGCATTTATTGTATGTGACATGCTTCGTGCATGGCTTATTAGGTGTGTATGACATGTCTTGCACGTGGCGTCTACTGTACAAAGAGTGGCTTGTATGCGGTCGTCTAGCACGCACTTAACATACATTGTCTCTGGCGCGGCTTGCATGTGACATGGTAATCCCGCGCTCGATGCACCATAATATATTTGAAGGGAATGCGGAAAGGTTTTACTCGGCGAGGTTCAGAGCCCTGCGGAGTGACCTCGGCCCGGGCATTCTGCGGAGCTTGCTGAGCAGCCCAGGGGGGCTCGTCCGCCACCTCGCTCGCCGCCGCCCGCGCCATGGCGCTGTCTCGCCCCGTTGTGCCGTTTGTCGACGGCGCCGCCGGGGAGCCGGCGGGCCGGGCATTGCCTCGATCTAATGTTGTTGCCATGCGAGGGCACGTGGGCCATGATCCGTGATTCGCACGTTATTTTTGTTTTGCTCTGCTGATTGTTTCATGGGGCCTTCCCGAATACTTGTCGCTTTGGCTGTTGAAAGTCTTCCTACTGAAGTCTGACGTCCAGGGCAAATTCTGGCGATCCTTGGGGGGGGGGGAGGGGGGGGGAGTTGAGTAACTCAGATGATATATCGTTTCTCGGAAAGTATTTCAAACCGCAGATTTTTGCCCGCTGGCCGCCAGGCCAGCGAGCAGAGAGGGGGGGCGTCGCTGCAGCGGCGCGCGATTTTCGCCAGGTGGACTGGCTGAAGTGGGACGACTCGAACCTGGTGTGGAAGTGCCTCATCTGCCCGCAGTGGGACGATAACGGGGCAGACGCCAAGCAGGCGCAGGATTGCCACTGCTGCGCGCGCCGCCGCCCTTCCCCAGTGTTCGATGGTAACGTGCGGAAAGTTTTGCGGAGTTCATCGTGCATGTCGGCACGCGCGCTCTACTCGCCTGCGCTGTCGGATTTCCTTAGACTCTGCTGTTTTTAACATTTGTTGTATACGACATGCTGTGTCTGTGACTTGTGTTTAAAACATGATCTGCCTTGTATATGATCTGTGCTGTGTGCTTATCATCAGCCGCACTTTCATATAGTACGTATTCCAGGTAACGGCTTTGCCAGAAAACAGTTTTGATAGATAACAGATTTGCTAGATAACATGTTTGCTGGAAGACATATTTGCCAGATGGCAGATTTGCCAGATAACGTGCGTGACAGTTAACGCAGTTGCCAGATAACAGCGTTGCCAGATAACGGGCTGCGAATGGTTATGTTTGCTAGATGCATGGTTCGCAGGGTATCCTTGGCGGAGGCCCTGGCGAGCCGCAGCCGCGGCCGAGTTAATTTATTTTATATCACTCATCAGAACTGATTAGTTGAAGCTTCCTGGCTTGAGTTAGATATCGTGGTTGCCACATTGTCAGGTTTGCAAGATAACGGGCGTGCCAGATAACAGGTTAGCCAGATAACAGAATTGATACATAACGGATGACATCTTTGCACGTTTGCCAGATAGTAGATTTTCCAGATGCGAGATTTGCCAGATAACAGATTTCCATGTGAGAATCTTTCCAGATAACAGATCTGCCAGATTATCGGTTTCCGTTGCTTTCATCATGTATGCTTGCCCCGTTGTTCCGTTATCCACTTATTCCTTGTGCTTTACATATGAATTCCCCATTGTGTCGTGCACGTATTAGTCGCATATGGCCTGCGGCTTCCTGTCGTTCCTGCGTCATTCATCGTCAACGTTGATTTGCGATAAGCTTGCTCGGTGATATCTGAACGAGTCTGAGCGGTCATTCCGAGGCCGGCCTCAGGCCCCATGCAGTCTCTCACCCAGACCACGCTCCCGCGATATCCTGAGTAGGAGGCTGTGCGTTTTTGTCATAGGAGCGCGCCTCTCCCGCTGCCCCATCTCCCCCCCCCCCCCCTCCCCAATGGAGGGCGACCCTTGGTGCGAGCACTTCAAGAGTCGCGAGCACCTCAGGAAGGTTCGCAACTGGGCGCCGGGGACGACCGTTAACCCGGAGCACCCGGGCGCGGTGCCGCCGCCACCGCGGGCTCTGGGCTGGGGCGCTTGCGCCGCGGCGCCTCCACCAGCGCCGGCATGGGGGGCGCGGGGCGTCGCCTCGGAGGCGCCTCCGCCTCCGCCCGCCTGGGGCCCAGCCGCGAGTGGTTCCCCCTCCGCCGGCCGCTGGCTCGCAGCGGCCGGCGGACGCGGCGGCGCCCCCGCGTGTGATCGCTCTGACGGACGGATCCACGCAAGATGCGCCCGAGCAGGCCGAGGGCGATCAGGCGGGGGGCGCTCCGTGGGGTGCAGTCCCGGCGGCCTGGGGCGCGCCCGCCGCGGCGCCTCCGCCTGCCTGGGGCCCAGGCGCGGGAGCGGCAGTGGCCCCGCCTCTGACCGACGGCTCCACGCAGGATAGGATCGACGCTCTCGAGCGAGCCGTGAGCGAGCTGCAACAGCAGCTCGCTCGCCTGCAGGCCAGGCTCGAGCAGTGATCTTCCGTCCTTCAGCGCCGCCTCTACTCTCGCCCCGCTATCTTCACGTTTGACAGATGATAGAATTGCCAGGTAACATATTGGCCCGATGCCACATTTGCCAAATCACACGCCTGCCAAACAACATATTTGCCAGATAACAGATTTGCCAGATCATACGCCTGACACGCGACACATTTGCAAGATAACATATGTGCTAGATCATAATGATTTCAGACAGAATGACCATCATTCTGGTATGCATTAAATCATATGTGTGGTTGTTCAATGAGAAGTTGCACATGCTCTGCGTTCATTGAATATGTCAAACTCTGTAATTGAAATGGTTTGTATGCGGTCTGTCTGGCACACAGCACAGAGTTTGTATACATGTCATGGTGGAACAGTCTTTGTGCGCATCAGTATGATATGCCGATGCAGACGTTGCCTAATCTACAAACAGAACTCCACTTTTAAGGCGCGCTCAGAATGCGACGCGGTGAGTCGCTCATTGATTTTCCATGACGGTTTCTCTCGTCTCCTCTGCCTGTTCAGTCTTGCGAGTCAGCAGCTCTGCCTATGCCCGTTGTGCCTCCAGCAGCCCAGCCAATGTGACCACGAGGGCAACCCAGTCAACCCACTGTGGTTAGACTGCCTCTGATTGCAGGCCCTCTTTGAAGATATCACTTGGTCACAGGGGTGATCCAGCCAGCCGAAAACGGCTAGGCTGCCCTGTTCACCTGGTGAGTTCTCCGTAACCTCCTCGCTGGTTGCACGGGTCGTAGAAGTCGCCGAACCTGCATAGCTGCGTTCTTAAAAGGTGCTGCGCCCCAGGAAACCCTTGTTTGCGAGATAACATGGTTGCCCGATGGAGCTGCGTTCTTAAAAGGTGCGGCGCCCCAGGAAACCCTTGTTTGCTAGATAACATGGTTGCCCGATGGCGGCGTTGTCAGATAACAGACATGCCGCATATCCAGGGTTACCATCGTATACGAGGAAGATCATATACAATGAAGGCCATATTCAAACACTATCATGCACAAGGAATGACATTTACAAGAGACGTCATATACAAAGATTGTCATAGACAAGGAGGATCTCGTCCTCGGTCGTTGTCATCGTCGGGTGCTGGGCGTCAATACGTATTCCTTTATGGTCCAAGAACGGCGGGTGCAATCGGGCCGCGCGTCTTTTCGAGCGCCTTCTCAGAATTGCAGGCCTCATGGGCAGCAAGTTTGTCATGCTGATGATTTCGATGGTATGTTTGCATTCTTGTCTTTCCGTAAATGCGAAGACTGTCTGCGGCAAGCGGCACGCCGCACCTGCGGTCCAGCAGGCGAAGCGGGACACCCCAAAGAGAATCGCCGCGGACGAGGACGTGCGCAGCCTCACCTCCACCATGCAGGACATGATCCCGCCGTGGAACCTGCAGGAGGCGGCGAAGAACCGCGCGCAGGCACTCGCTGACTGGATGACCTGGTGCGTCCCCTACGTCACGGCCGAGATCCAGACGCACCCGGAGATCTACGGACCACTCGCCAACAGCCCGGGAGAAATCAAGAGGCTTGCGGAAGAGATCTGCGCCCGGGCACATCGCCGCAAGCTGCACGAGGTGGCGCGTGCGCACCGGCGACAGGCGAAGCGGATATTGCAGCGCGTGCTGGAATGGCAGTTGCCGACCCAGGGCACCAGAGTCATGCACTTCGGTGACGACCCGCAGCAGGTGGCCGAGTCATGCTGACGAGGACGCACGCAATTTTTGTCCGAATGCCGCTGTGACCTGACCACAGCACCGCACCAGAGGATTTATTGACCAAGCATGGCCGCAAGGATTGCTTGAGTGAGTTTGAGAGAAAAAAACCATCCTCCTCTTCCTCTTCCTCCTCCTCCTCCTCCTCGCGGGGGGGACAGCGACGACAGACGACGACGACGACGACTAGTTAAATAGTCCCTAGCGAAATCGCCATTCCTGGGAACGACGGTTCAACAATGCAGGTTTCGTTGCGCACTTTACTTTTCAAACATGTCTTAAATTTTCTCTATATGATTTTTACTCTCCTGAGCCTCCCTGGGACCACCGTCCTGGATTCCAGCTTTTGCCTGGGACCTCAGAGTGCAACGTAACCGGCGCTGTATGTTGTACCCAGAGGCCCCCTGGCGTCCGCCAGAGGGCGTGTTGGGCACAACATAACCCGCGGTTTGTGTTGCACCCAGCGGCCCCCTGGCGTCGGCCAGAGGGCGTGTCGGGCACAACGTAACTGGCGGGGTATGTTGTACCCAGAGGCCCCCTGGCGGTCGCCAGAGGGCGTGTTGGGTACAGCATAAACCATATTGAATCATCTTGGGCTATATTGAACGATCTTGGAAGCCATTTTTGCCTTTCTGGAACCTTTTTGAAGCCATCTTTGGCAATCTTGGACGCTCTCGCGCCTCGCGCGACGCCCTGTCCTTGCTGGTAGACAGATCTACCCCACTTTTGTTCATTCACGAATACAGAAATACCATGTCATAGATGGTTGGCCGCTGGAAAGAAAGCGAGGTAGATTTGTTTACCAGCTGTTTTTGGGCAAAGTTGCATGCATATGTTTTATCGAAGCACTCGGACGATGTGCTTGCCGCGGTGGCCGGCCTGCCTCCTCCCTCCCTCGTCGTCGTCGTCGTGACCATCGTCAGCGCATGTGTTCTTGTCACAATTGATTGGAGAGGCCTTACGGCCGGTGCCGCCGACCCTGGACGTCGACGACGACGACGACGACGACGACAGACCTATGTGTCCACAGTGCCCGCTCGTACGCTCTGTCACTTATGCGTGCACGTGCGGCTCGCTGGCGCGCTGTGCCGTCAAGGACGTCAGAGTCATCATCCCCAATTCCCAGTAAGTAGAACGCCACAGTTGTAAATAAAAAGGGGACGCTCTGCCACTTGGAGCCGCCCTGGGGCGATCTCGAGGCTTTTGGAAGCACGCTGGAACTATCTTGAACTAACTTGAGTTATATTGAACGTATTTTGGAGACATGTTTGCCTTTTCTGGGACCCTTCTTGAAAGCCATCCTATGGCCATCTTGGACGCTCTAACGCCTTGCGCGTCGCCCTGTCCTCGCTGGTAAACAGATCTACCTTACTTTTGTTCAGTCACGAATACAGAAATACCATGTCATAGATGGTTGGTCGCTGGAAAGAAAGCGAGGTAGATTTGTTTACCAGCTGTTTTTGGGCAAAGTTGCATGATGTTTTATCGAAGCACTCGGACGATGTGCTTGCCGCGGTGGCCGGCCTGCCTCCTCCCTCCCTCGTCGTCGTCGTCGTGACCATCGTCAGCGCATGTGTTCTTGTCACAATTGATTGGAGAGGCCTTACGGCCGGCGCCGCCGACCCTGGACGTCGACGACGACGACGACGACGGCGGCCTATGTGTCCACAGTGCTTGCTCGTACGCTCTGCCACCTATGCGTGCACGCGCGGCTCGCTGGCGTGCTGTGCCGTCAAGGACGTCAGAGTCACCATCCCCAATTCTCAGTAAGTTGAACGCCACAGTTGTAAATAAAAAGAGGACGCTCTGCCACTTGGAGCCGCCCAGGGGCGATCTCGATGGCTTTTGGAAGCACGTTGGAACTATCTTGAACTATCTTGAGTTATACTGAACGATATTGGAGGCCATGTTTGCCTTTCTGGGACCCTCTTGAAACCATCCTTGGCCATCTTGGACGCTCTAACGCCTTGCGCGTCGCCCTGTCCTCGCTGGTAAACAGATCTACCTTACTTTTGTTCATTAACGTATACAGAAATACCATGTCATAGATGGTTGGTCGCTGGAAAGAAAGCGAGGTAGATTTGTTTACCAGCTGTTTTTGGGCAAAGTTGCACGCTGTTGCTTTATCCAAGCACTCGGACGATGTGCTTGCCGCGGTGGCCGGCCTGCCTCCTCCCTCCCTCGTCGTCGTCGTCGTGACCATCGTCAGCGCATGTGTTCTTATCACAATTGATTGGAGAGGCCTTACGGCCGGCGCCGCCGACCCTGGACGTCGACGACGACGACGACGACGACGACGACAACGGCGGCCTATGTGTCCACAGTGCCCGCTCGTACGCTCTGCCACCTATGCGTGCACGTGCGGCTCGCTGGCGTGCTCTGCCGTCAAGGACGTCAGAGTCATCATCCCCAATTCCCAGTAAGTTGAACGCTACAGTTGTAAATAGAAAGGGGACGCTCTGCCACTTGGAGCCGCCCAGGGGCGATCTCGATGGCTTTTGGAAGCACGTTGGAACTATCTTGAACGATCTTGAGTTATATTGAACGATATTGGAGGCCATGTTTGCCTTTCTGGGACCCTCTTGAAGCCATCCTTGGCCATCTTGGACGCTCTAACGCCTTGCGCGTCGCCCTGTCCTCGCTGGTAAACAGATCTACCTTACTTTTGTTCATTCACGAATACAGAAATACCATGTCATAGATGGTTGGTCGCTGGAAAGAAAGCGAGGTAGATTTGTTTACCAGCTGTTTTTGGGCAAAGTTGCATGCTGTTGCTTTATCGAAGCACTCGGACGATGTGCTTGCCGCGGTGGCCGGCCTGCCTCCTCCCTCCCTCATCGTCGTCGTCGTGACCATCGTCAGCGCGTATGTTCTTGTCACAATTGATTGGAGAGGCC